GTCAAATTTGACACATTTTTTGATGATCTCACCACGTGGCATGCATTGTCTCTCTTTGGATCTCAATATTTTCCCACTAGATGGCCAAGACCTAGTGTTTTTGCAGTATTTCGACACGCAAATGTATGACATCACCATTTCAACCATCAATGAATGCATGGAACTGAAACAAAGCTTAATATAAAGGAAAAGCTGGAGAGGTGACGGAATTACCTACGATGTCGGAATATACCGCGTTTACCCTGACTTTGGAGAAAATTTCTTCTAAAATAAAGTTCTAGATTTCTCATTCACCAAATTTCCGTATCAAGAGAAATCATATATTATTGAAAGATAATTAAAGGCATACTGTACTGAGTAGTGAGTAATGTGAGTATTACGTCTGTTCCTCCACAAACTGCTCGTGCGCGGCAGCGCGACATAGAATTGATGACCGGGATTGCGCGAACATGTGCGCGAAGAGAATCAATTTTCATTACATTGCGCCAACTGTGCACAGCAATAGCTTAAAAAAAGTGAAAATGCGCGGGAAAATTCACCGAAAACATACATCATCCTGAGTGTGGCATGTGAAGTACTGATGCTGAACTGGGTGATACCGTGATTGTAGCTTCATTAGATTTATTGACTCATTTTGACTCAGGATTAGAATTTTCCTAGGGTTAACACACCATATTCCGACACCTTAAGGATGTAGCAAGAAATTTTTGGCTATAAATAGATCACCGTATGCGCAACTTGAGTTGTGATTGGTTTACATTGCTCTCAAAAAACCACACTATCATCACTATGCACCAGCAATGATGAAATGTCACAAACTGTTGCCATATGTATTTAAAATTAAAAGCCTTTAGAATTCAAATCTACAAAATTGCTGAATTCATACACTGTGTATGACTAAATGGGGCATATTGTCATTATTGTGACTTGTGAGAGCACTGAGACTAATTCCGACAGTGCTTTGAAATCCTAATTAGTAATTCCGACACCCTGTGTGAGCTGTGTCGGAATACAACACCCTGTGTCCAGGCTGTAAAGTAGGGCCTTTCAGCTCGAGATATCGGCGTCTTTTCAAGCTCTCCATTAGCCACCTTGACCTTAAATCGGCGTCCATGGCCGATCATAAACTATGGCTTGGGCTGCCATGACGCATGACCGATCAATAATAAAGCGATCATAAACTATAGATTGCTCAATCAGCCCCGCCGCCATCGCGCGCATCTGCAGCTTGCTTGATTGCTTGTATCTGTCACCCAATGACAATGTGCATATGTCTGGCTACTGCTACTACTGAAGAAACTTGTCAATCCATTGTGTTCTAACGCGATCTATTGTGTTCTAACACAATCTATTTTGTTCTAACGTGATCTATTGTGTTCAAACGTGATGGTCGTGATCTATTGCATTCTACCGCAATCTATAGCGTTGTAACGCAATCTATAGCATCCTAACACAATCTATTGTGTTATAGCCTGATCTATTGCATTCTAATGCGATCTATAGCATTCTAACGCAATCTATTGTGTTCTAACGCAATCTATTGTGTTCTAACGTCATCTATTGCGTTCTAACTCAACCTATTGCGTTCTAACACGATCTATTGCATTCTAACACAATCTATAGCGTTCTAACACGATCTATTGCGTTCTAACGCAATCTATTGCGTTCTAACACAATCTATTGCGTTCTAACACGATATATTGCGTTCTAACACGATATATTGCGTTCTAACATGATCTATTGCATTCTAATGTGATCTATTGCGTCCTAACTAACAAATAATACGTAACGTACCTACCCATGTCGCACAATCTACCTAAGATTAGTATTTGCTGATAGTGCAACACAAAAAAAAGAATGAATGCTATTATGCAACATGCTTCTTAACAAAAACTTTGTTAGGTTATGGTTAGAATTAGGGTTAGAGGTGTGAAAAATAGTTTTTTTGACACTTTTTTTACAATTTTACTAAGGTTAGGTCCAGCCAGGAAAGGTTCTTTTACTTCAACTAATAATCATAATATCTTCAATATCAAGTTCTAATTTGCAGTCTAGGCTAGATACTAGTGGATGAATTAATTTTATCTATCAAAATAGAAGAATATTGTTGCAAGTAAAATGGCTCTATAATAGATATATATATCTATATACCCATGGTATATATACCGTATCTATTATAGTGTGCGAGTCTATAAGATAATACTTTCAACAGAATTTAGGGACTTTTTCCTGGTTGAATTTGTTTACATACTTTTATTAACTTTGGAATCTTCCTTTCTGCCTGTCAGGTTGCACTTCAGGAAAATCTGAATTACCAACTTGAACTTCTGCAATTTAGCTTTTTACAGCAGGCTCATCAACAACAGAGTGTCTTCCCTGTTATTCCATCACCCTTTTTCTTTCAGTGAGTTGAATAATTTAATTTAGTCAATTTTACCTACTCATAAATCCTCATGCATCAAAAATTACTTACAATTATCCTGTTAAAAATATTCCTGCAATTAGTCATTTGAGTATGTTGCACTTTAATGGTGAAATTCTCCTCAAATGTAGGAATTCTCAAGAGTGAAAATTGTCTTTCATTGAACCAAATCATTATTTGCAGCAATTTTCCAATGGCTGCAACAGAAGAGGCCGTAAAATCTGAGAGGTTGAGTCCTCATGTTGACTCAATAGCTCCGATTACTATATCTGCTGCTGCGGCCAGTACCATCGGTGCTTATCTTCCTCAGCCTCGTGTGAGTAGTATATATATATTTATTTTTGGACGTTTCATTTATATCCTTATGCCCTTTCTAAATTCTGGATTATTTTGTATGGTGGTGGTTTATTTTCATATGAATTTAATTAAAGTGTTGTGGCAAATGAGAATGATTAACATGTTCCTGCGTATAGGGGCCATATGTGTATCAGCAATGATATTCTACTACTGGGTATTGGGACCCCAGTGTACCAAATATTATTATAATAATATAATAAATAATTTTCGTTATGCAGTTTTGATAAACACATAGTACCTATATATAACTTGAAATTTTGTTGGTAAACTTTCTCTTTTACAGTACTTGTGTTTGCACAAAAGGCTGATTGTTAAATAAAACAAATTAGTGAACTGAAATTTGCAGTGCAATCCATATGTGTAGGGAATGTGTTGAATGTGCAAATTTATCCCTATACTGTATTTAGATAGTGCTTTGTGAAAGATATATAAAACTTTTGACTCCTGGTTCATTTATTCAATGAATATTTTATATGGTTTATTAGAGGTACCTACTACTACCCTGCCAAAAGTTTTGTGTGATTTTTATATTTTTTTCCTCCTCTCTGCTTAAAATTTAATTGTCTCCTTGTCATCTATTGCAATATTAACTTCTTTGTGTCAACAAAACAGGAATCTAAATTTGTTTAGAAACTGTTTTGTTCTTGTTGGGTTTTTACTGATGGTTACTTGTGTGCAGGCAATGGTAGTGAGGTGTGATGTGTGCGAGCTGAGCTTCTTTTCCCAAGGTGTTCTTCAGAGCCATATGGCGGGCTCTAAACATCAGAGGAAGGTGACAGCCATATTTGCCCCTTTTGCCCTTCTTTTAAACATGTATCAGAAAACTTGAGACTTTCTGTTAGACCTTCTAAAATAGTGTGTGCCAATGTGTTTCCTATGTATCTATAAGTTATGTTTTATTTATATAATAATTTCAGCATGTAATGATGAGTTCAAATGCAATCTTGAAGCCACTTAGTGAATTGAAGAAAAAAGTCAAAGAAGTTGTTATGTTCGGTGCTATGCAGGCCAAGATAACAATGCAAATGATAGAAATAGAGATGTTTTTACACCAATTCCTTTCAATGTAGATATATATTTATTGGAGATAAGGTTTCATGTTAATGGGAAGAGTAAACCTCCTTTGGAAACCAGCTATTTTTTTAAAGAAAATTCACATGCAGGCTTTTGAAGGAACAAAATAAAGCACAACTTACCTATGATAGATAAAATTAATGTTTATCTAAAAATGGCAGAATCCTTGCTTTTACTAATTATTTGTTCTATCACTTATATGACGTTCCTTCATAGCTTACATGTTAACACTAAAATTTTCTATCAGGTGAAGAGTGCAGAGCTTCTCAAGAGTTTGGAGTCCATGAACCATGAGTTTGAGAGGAATGAAATCTCTGGCGTCATTCGATGCATTGTCTGTGACATCACAGTCAACTCCCCTCAGGTTACTTTATGTATATTTTATACTAAAATTTTAGTGAAGCATAGAATCAATTTGGTGAAATTGATTAAAATTATCTATGTTATAGAAAGTATAGGTACTCTTCTCATGGTAATATTGTCCTCTCTGTAAAAGATAATTTTCCCTATGAAAACCTTCTAATTTTAGTATTTGAATATGTTTTTATGTTTACATATTTTATGAACGCAGTATTTTTCATTTCAACATGCACCCAAACGCCCGAAGTTGTATTGGCAATGTCTTCCAGCTAGTCGGAATTGAACAAGGATGTTCACCAATCTAATGGACAGACCTTTAGACCTTTCATCAACACCGCATGCATTCTTTTATTCTAAAACCGTGAATTAAAATTGGCGTTTAATTAGACACCAAAATCATACCAAGCTGAAAACGTATTCACTACAATATCCCCACTGACTAAACTATACTATTATATAGTATAGTTTAGTCAGCTATATACTATTGCATCTCACAGCAGCGTTGCAAGGAGTCTTTATAGGTAGGTATGTCATGTTCGAATAGATGGCAACACACGTCTTTCAGATCGTGTCAAAAATTTACAAATCTTGCTTATATTCCAGTTACTGGCGACACACATGGCAGGCAATAAGCACAAGGCCAACGCCCTCAAACGTGAAAGAGCTGACGATGCTGGCAGTGTGCCTCCTGCTAAGCGCTCCTGCCCTGACGGTGCTGCTGATGACGTAACTGGTAAATAATCCAAAGCTGTATCATTGTGCTAATCGAAACAATAAGTTTACCTATTTATTGAGAAAGAAATGGAATATTGCTACTGAAATCATTTAAGTAACTCATTTTTGGCATCAAACTTTATGATTTAGTTTGACCATAAGCTCATTTTTCCGAACCTTTGTGTCATTCAAACTTCAGTTCTTCTGGTTCTGCTTCAATGTTTGGATAAGCAATTTCTTTCTAATGTTTGCTTCTGTAACTTTCTTGAGACACTTTCGAAACAGTTGGAGTACAAATAAATCTTTTCACTTACATTTGTCATTTGTGTGCTGAACAAGTGATCTTGATTTCCGTCATTCCTGCTGTCATCTTTTTACAGTATTGTATACCTGTCCCATGTAACAGTTTTTATAGTTCTTCCATAGGTATCACCAGCAAAAAATTCTGTTAGAGGAAACAATGGCTGTTTACTGAATTTCAGTTTTCAGGTAACAAATTTGATCCAAGTTCATAGGAAATTTTTCCTGTAAAAGGTCTATCAGCTTAACTGAAAGGTAGCAACACTACCCTATGGTTTCTTTAGTTATGTCGGTGCACCAACTTGTGTACGCTTTTTTCAGCAGAATTTAAACAGGATTAATCTGTGCCACGATGAAGTGAAAGTTTTTAATGGTCTTATTGACACTAATTTTGTTGTCTTCAGACGGCTCTGAGATTCTTGGTGTTGCAGCAAAGAAGAGGAAAAAGAAGAAGAAGAAGAAATCGACGGCAGAGACTGCAGGTGAGCCAATGATATTTACAAAGATCTTTCAATTGATAGACTTTTTGCAGTGTCACTAACATGGGTTTGGAGACTAACTTCAACTGTGAAATCCAGTCCTATTACCGAGTGGCTTGCTATTTTATATATTTTAATATTTTATATATTTATATTTTATCTTCTTGACCAATAAAAACAAGTTGCCTTGTGTGTTCTCTCATAATCAGAGTGCTGTACGACTTGAATATCATGATATACTCTAGTTAAGTATTTTGTTGGATGAAAATGTCAATTATTAGACTATACTATTAGAGGTAATTCCTCAAGATCATCCTTTCATTGAATTCAATTGATGTATTTGAATGAATGTTTGACTGCTCAATTTTTTGTTACGGTGGAATTTGAATACTTCGGGCTCTGGCGAAGTCAATTATGTTAAATTAGAGTCAACTTTTGAATAATAAAGAATCTTGTTCTCGCGGGCTATTTGTTAATTTGTTAATGTTTTTTTGGAAGATTTCAATAACATCAACATATTTTGAACAGATGAAATTTTATGTAGGTACTAGTACTTTATGCTTCAAAAAATCTCTCCAGAATTACTTTTTCTCTTTTTTATGCTCTAGTTGTTATTCTAACACTTATCTCCAACGCTTCATGCTAGTTTCAATTCCTGCAGCTCATTTTAACTACCTTTTTACCGCAGGCAAAACTTGCCGTTTGTACATTCGCTGCAATACACGCATTACTCCATATTTTCTGCTTTCTTTCATTGAAATTTAATTCATAAATCTACTGAAATTCTCAACTCTAACGTTCTAGATGCAATTTTCCTGCAGCTGTATTACAGTGTGAAATAATAATAACTAACATGAAATCTTAAGAGAGGCAAAGAAGTGAAGTTTAAATTTGCTAGGTACGTACCGATGCTTCAGCATATTTTTAGATTCTTGTGATTACAGGAACCTAAAGTCTAGAAATTACTCACAGTTATAACCTGAACCAGGTTTTTGTATGTGTATTGATGAATGAAAATTTCTCTTTATAATTTGTATATGTTATTCTCTATGCCTAAATTAACAATATTTTTCCCCTTTTCGTTGATATGATTGAATAATCTACCATGACAATCGGTCCTCATTTCGGCTGATAATCACAGGGAACTAGTAAACGAGTTCACTGGATCAGTCGAGGACGATTGATGACAGGGAGTGTCGCTGCTCTCAGATTTTGGAACAATCGCAGAATTTGTCCACGAACTAATGCCAAGTATCAATTCAAAACTGTGGGTGTTAGATTTCGGTTTTCAGTTGTAATCTGTTTGATTTATTTAGGGTAAAGTTCTCAGTATTATGAGCTCATCACGTGAGTGAAATATTCAATGCAAGCGAGGCGAATATTAGTAAACGAACGTGATTGACATTTTTTAGTATTTTAAAATTTGCTAAGAATTTTTGCTTCATAAACAAACTGGGAGACGTAGTGTGAAATACGAAGAGTATTGCGTGAAAATTAGACTTAACTTGCTGAGATAATTATGTGTGACCCTGTTTTAATCCGCTTAGAATAAGAGTTATCTTGCTCTTTGTGATCGTTATATCTTCGCAACTTGTACTTTAGGTGCCTTTTATTTGTGCTTGACTGTTCTGCAATTGCTACCAAACTCTGACGACACTGGTCTCACTAAGAGGAATCAACTTAAATGTTCTCATCGCATTGCTATCAAATGCTTAAACACTCTCAAAGAAATGATGGTCAGTTGATTCTCTGCAACCACTCGTTTGTTGTTGTTATGATTCCAATCGGTTCAAAGAGCATATCTTTAATTTGGTGTGCCACTCATATTTTGATTTGGATGTTGTCTAATTTTGCACAAAACAGCACTTTTATTTGTCTCGTTTTTGCTCATGACATGACAAGTGCTCGATTGTGCAAAAATACACACTCCTCTTCGAAATATGTTGTGAGAGTTTCTGCTCATGTTTTGAAACCGCGACGAGTTGCGACCTCCCGAAACTAGAGTGATTTTCAATCATCTTCAATATTGATAGAGGGTACTGAAGGCACTGTCCCTCAAGAGCTCAACCTTCCTGAATTCGTGTCCAAGTTTGAAACGGAGCTGAGCTGCTATTATTTCTGCAACCCTTGTAGTGCGCATTGCAACTCCGAGCTTCAGCTCGTCCAGGTGTGTTGTCTGTGCAGGCCGCTTTGTCGAAATATTGCAAAACATATAACATACTAAGATTTCTGCGTTTTTAGTTTTTTGCCTTATGCAATTTTAACTTCAGTCAGTTGCGAAACTCAAAGTTTGAGTTTATGTCATTAACTATCAATATCGACATTATATAATAAACTCTAAATCGGACGCGTTTTTTCAGCATCTGTCTTCGAAGAAGCACAGTGACAAGATGCAAGGACGCACCGGAAGCCCTGTAGGACGTGGCAGACGAGGACGCGGAGGACCCAGCAATGGACCGTGGACAAACCCAGAGGTGTCATTTGGTGATGGGCCTTTTAGGGGTAGAGGCTCTTGGGCACCGAGAAGCGAGCGATTAAGAGGTGGCAGTCGAGGCCGCGGCCGCGGCCGGCCATATTTTAGCCGAGGTGGTCGTGGAATGAGAAGTCGAGGTGGGGACGCGTTTGCTTCTTGGAGTGGCAGAAAACCTTTCATGGGACGTGGAAGAGGTGGCCCTAATGCACCCGGTGAGGGTTTTGGAAATACACAGCCTATCAATGAAGATACTTCTTGTGATGCAAGAAATTGGAATAATAGAGGTCGAGGAAATTCTTTTCGCGGTATGAAACGGACTTTTGACGATTCAGAAACGGCGATGCCTTATGGTGCTCGTGGTTGGGATAACAATCGCTCACAAGAAAATTATGGGGCAAACACAACGAATGAATGGGTTGCTGTTGAGCCTTCAGTCAGAGGTGGTGGGGGACCGAACTTCACGCATGGGATCCCTTTTCGTTCAATGAGAGCAGGTCATCGAGGATACGGCGATAATCGACATGGCGGACAATCCGCTACAAATTACGCTACTGGAGATTTTACTCATGGCTGGGATGGAAGCGTTAATAATTCTTATGTTCCTGGTGGCGATGTATCTGCTGGAGTCAGTGCTGATGTGTATCACCAGGAATGGACGGGTGAAAACTATGGCGGGGGCGAGGAGTCTCGTCCCTGGGCCGAAGGGTTTGTCGCTACAACGTACCCTCCTCCATCGACACAAAATTACTAGAACAACAATGCTTGGGTCAATTTGATCCATAAGCATATTATTCTGTCGCTGGCTGAGTCTATCTCGATCTGGGTATGAAAGAGGTCATCCGTCATTTGTCAGACGAATTTCTTATCAATCTTCTCAGAATTGATATCTTCATAATGTCTTGGTTGTTTGCATATCAGTGAACTCGTCAAATAGCTTTTACGATTTTTGTCAACTATGAAAGGTAAATTTTGATTTCGTGGCTACCACCGTACTGCAATTTTAACTCGAATTTCAAAAATTATCTCATTTCAGTGTTTTATTGCTTAATGTTTGTACAGTGCAATGATCAGAACTGAACCCTTATGGCCTTGGATGCGCAGAAAAACGAATTTATTTCTTATAAATCTTATAAGAAATGTAAAATTATTATGAGAATTATCCACTTTTTTTTGTAGCGATCGATTTTTTCGCCTGTCATTAGTGTGTTTATTTTGAAAAGTCGTCAGTGATTGGCTGAAGATGTTAACTCTCGACTATTTTCGATAGTTCGGCCCCTGATAGGTAACATCGCATCTCCCAAGTCCATTAGGTAGAGAAGCCTAACACTTGTCATTCTTTTTCATGCTTGGGACGCATATAAGCCGTCAATTCTTCGTTTGAAGACAAATATTGATGAAAAAAAATTACGTTAATGTTCAGCTCGAGTCTGCGCGAAGTGCGTGGTATGGTAGTGCTATAATCATCGCTACTGAGATTGCTCCGTGCCGTTCCAAGGCGATAAGGGTCAATTCAAGTATTTTCATTCATCATATGTTGTACGTGTCAGCGTATAAGTGCAGCATTTATTCTTAGCTTAGTAGAGAAAGAACGCGTTGAATGTCAAATAATTGTTTGCTATCTAGAACAAGCTTAAAATTTAAACGTTTTGCAAACCGGGCATTTCAAGAACATGCACGGCACAGTGAATTAAATTTGTCGTGATAGACACTTCAAAATTAGCCCATTATAAGACGCCTCTAAAAAGAAGACATATCTTACCTTGAGGTGCATTACAGCATATTTCGTTCCGTCATGAAATCTATGTTATTACGGTGTTGAGTAACTCGAAAGTTTTCGTAACGCTAAGCTGCACGTATTTGCCGCAATTAAAGTCCTTGACCGATTTTTAGACGAAAGTAGTTTATTATTGCATAGACATTCAAATTTCTATGTTGTATCATTGTGACTTTGTCTATTTAATAAGGGGCTGTATTTGAATTTGATGACGGCGTGAATTAACTACATTCTTTATAAATTAGCGCGTTCTCGTTATCGCTTACAATGGGACAAAAAATTTGAAGGTAGATATATACTGATCGATATCAACATATTTTAACAAATTTCAAAAAATTTTAGCTCCAATGTCCTATGTCATCTTGCACGTTGGTTTGCAGTGTTGCAAACCATTCCTTCACTTCGACATTTCAGATTAGAAATAGTCATCATTTCGTGTGCTTGTACACAATTTTTTCCGCGCAAAATCGAATGACGAGTCATTTTACAATACCATTTTATGTTCAACAGAAGAATAATAAAAATGTTATTCATTTATTTCCCATTTCATCAGCGTTATGTTACATGGCAATTAATGTACAATCACTGCACACATAAAGAACTCCACGAAGCAAAAATTATTCCTAAACTATGAACACGAATTTTAGTATCCATGCCTTACGTGCGGAGGACGGCGGAATTACGGCAGTTTTCGTGCCCTCCCCCCGTCGTTATGTGCTGTGTTGTAACGATGTTATGCTTCATTCGAATGCATTCTATCGTCGACAACAACAACATGGATCGTAGAGTTGTATTTAACTTTAAGAGCTTATGCAATACTGTCAACAAAGACGTCCCGAAGTAATGATGTACACGCTTAGCACACAATAAATAAAATCTCGACTAAACTTTGAGTATAAAACAAATGCTATATATACTTATGTATATACACATTCCGAGTTCTCTAATAATATGCACAGAGTTTACTAGTCACGAACATTGCCGTAACCCCATCCAGCTACTCTGTCTATGCTAACCCTGCAGCCAAATGCTGATGTCAAGAAACCTTAGCAGATTTACGATAAATAATTAGATGCACAAGTTCAAGTTGAATTACCAACGAGAATACAGGACGATAGCTGAGACAGAACGGGGCAGGCGAGAAAGCATCCTAGTCTATCATATCTAACTTTTCTGCTTTCTTGATTCATAATACGTTAAATAGAATGCGAGTATATTCTCATAAGAATCACCACAATTGCTCTACTGGCGATAAAGTGGAGATTATAAGACACCAGTCCTCGTTTCAATCACCAACTAAAGACTGATTTCAATCACCAACTAAAAATGCTTGTCTTTACGAATGAAATTGGAAAAGGGAGGCTGGTGCTCAATTTAAAATTTCATTTCACTTGACATTTTTAAATAATGAACTAGAACGCAGGTTACGAGCATAAGGTGAATATATATTGCTGGACGTTAAACATCATGCGATTTACTGGCACAACGTCGGGATATGATGTGAATACCAGAAATTGACAGCAGAATGCCGGATTCTGATGGTTTAAATACCCGAGATGGGCAAAGAGAGGCCTTGGAAAGGGTCCTCACCCTCTCCGTCCAACTTGGGACGGAAGAGATGAGACGCGGTGAGTGGCTGTGCTGAAGATGGACCGCTGGGAGGAGTGACAATCACGTCATTCTGCAAAAAAAAATCGTGACTTGAGCCTTAGCCGAAGTAGGAATCTAAACATGTAGTGTGAAAGTGGTGAACTGGTATTATTTTAGTGGGGACACAGTGTTTGAACTGGCAACGCACCTACCGCACATTAAAAAAAATCTTAGAATTTTGAATCTTTCAAAAAAATAGAGCTAAAGCTCGCCTTACTTGCTCGTTCGACTGCTGAGGAGCGTAGCAGCGATCAGGAACGCCAGTGACCGACGCAGTGTCTATGCGGTCGCCCACTTCCGCGCTGCGTTCGAAAAAACGCGGGATGGTGAAGGGTGCGGTGTTGTATTGCATGTGTTGTGTGGAAGCGTGAGAAAAAGTGTGGGTTGAGGCAGGGAGAGGCGGATGTAAAATTATTTGAGAGGTGAATGAGGTTAAAGATTCTTCACTAAGAGACAGTCTGAAGGGCGGAAGAAAATGAACAAATTAGAATTTTTAATAAAATTAAAAAAAAAACACAACACACGAAACAAAATCAATCATAAAAAATAGCACAAACAATAATTTAAATGCTGTAAGTAGAATACTCAGACTTTAAAAACTGACAGAAAGTATTAATCAATGCGAATACGATGAAAAGTGGTATAGGAAAACTCAATTTCTGTACGTAAAATGCGACCTGAAAATAGAGGAGGACGGGTAACAATAGTAAGGTTTGAGTAAATTGGTTTAACTAAATAAGAGGGAAGACAACTATTACTGCTGCTCCTGAGCTTTTAAATAGACCTATGAGATGCCCGAATAACTGAACTCTTAAAAACTTACAAGCCGATGAACCATTAATGCCAATGAATCGTGTAAAACTCTTGAAGGGAAATAAAAATGCTTATGATAGCATAAAAGCAGCTGAAGCATAAAAGCATAAAAAAGCTGATGCAAAACACAACAAAGTCCAAGTAGGTTGTCAATTACAAGAAATAAGTAAAGTATGAATTCGGGTACCACGAAGTAAATATATTTACCTGGTGGTAGTTAGATCTTCTACGGTGGTGTGATGAAACTGCCTACCATGGGCAGACTCATCATCTGACATTGACCCACTTGGAAGAGAGGGTCCTGAAATCAAACCTAGAGACTGGCGAGTCGAGCTCAAAGGCAAAGGGCCAAACGAGTTTGGTTGAGAAAATCTTTGGGCCTGGGTAATCAATGCCGACTCTCCAAATGAGGCAAGCGAGTTTGAAACATCAGTATTAGCTGCAGGAGGAAAATCGGTTTGATTGTTATGTTGGCCCCTTGGAGAAACGCTGTGAGTAGGAGAGTTGGCACAAGAAGAACCAGAAGTGAAAGAATCATGTGCTGGTAGCGATACTGTGCACGAGTGAATGTAAGACTGGGTGGAAGAATTGTCGTATGAAGCCACAGCAAAGGAAGGATCCGCAACGAAGTGTGTGGCAGGAGTGGTTGCCACAGAAGCTGCAGGCAAGACAATGTCTACAGGAACAGGCGTGAAGGAAGCAGCTGCTGCTGTGCTCAAGAGCGGGTTATCGTCCAGCAGTGGGTGGGTGTTCGACCTGTGAAGACGGGCATCTACGCTGGCATCAGCACAGGGCACGTCGGTGTTGGTGCCCTCACACGTCGAGGAGGCCTGAGAGAGCGACGCTTCCTCAGAGGTCGAGGCTTCCTCAGGAACATCGATGCGGTGGATCTTTGCTACGAAAGTAACAAGATGCGTCAATAAATTATGATTGAGTAGTAAATAAAACAACGGCAGAATCATTCATTTTGAAAAAAAGATTGCAATGTCGGTTGTTTGAATAATATTTTTAACCAAATTACACGAGGTAATAAGCAAATTGCGAACAACATCTGTATGGAAGTTTTCAAAAATTATGTGCTACAACGGCACAGAAACTTACACGGAGGGTGAGATTTGAATAGTTCAGTCCTGAATCCTGGCAAGAAAGAGTCAACACGATCCCAGGTGACCGACCAGAGACGTGTAAAACCTTGGGCCGTGTGAAAGACGTGAGTTGTTTCCATCACCAGCAACATATTCTTCAGAATTTCCGGTACAGCATCGCACTGCTCAGAAGAATGGCACGGTATAAGAGATATACGTCCGGTCCAAACAAGTCGAATGCTGAAATACAAATGCGAGAAAAAAATCAACGTGCACATGAATAAGTGCTTTCCAAACTTTCCTCTGAATTCGAATGAAAATATTTTCCGGCAATGAGGGAAATATAATTCAAGGGATTTCTGGAGGAGAGCTGAAAGGCATTTGCGAAGATGCAATTAAAATTCAACCAAGAAACGGCACAACTTACGAGATGATCGGTGGTATTGATGTGAAGATATTTGTCCAGGAAGTCCAAGATTGTGAGCCAAAGAGCGGTGAATGTTGGCAGCGTCAGTAAGGTCGTCAGGTGACGTAGATACACCTAGAAATGCGATTTGTAAGTTTGGAGGCCATATAACTAGCGCTTCAGATCGAGCTTATACTGTGTACAGAATTTAGAGATCTCTTCCAGCCAATAAAATGGATTTGTGTGGAGCTGATTAATTTATGAAGTTAAAATTTCAGACATTTCGAATCAAAACTAAGTTATCGACATGAACAGTAAATTAATGAGTGGAACTTGAATTGGTTGTTGTTGTAATTGCCCATCCTGGTAGTGGCGACTAGGGGGGGGGGTGATAGGTCAGTTTTTCCGGGCACTTGGTGCCACTGGTAGTTCTACGACCATCACTGGCTCGCTGACCCGCCAGAATCATTTTATTGCATTACACAACACCCTGGACAAGCCAGGTACTCATTTATCAACCAGAGTTCAATGAATGGCTGAGCTGGTCATGAGCTGAGCTTCCCGGAAGAACTTGTCCTCAGTGGGACTCGAACCCGGGAGCTGGGTGGGAGAGACTGAGTCTCTCACCACTGCACCACCACAGCTCTGGTGGTGCTCTGACAACTTGAATTGGTACTTGAATTCTGGTTGCATATTTAATCTATGGTAATGAATTTATAAGGAATTTATTAAAAACCAGCAGTCTAAGAAGTAAATAACTCAAAGAAACCCTCAACTGCCATCACTAAGATCAAAATGAAATTGAAGAACATAAAAAGTGAATTACATGTATGTTATACCCTAAGAAATCGACTCTGTGAGTGAAAATTAGTCGCTACGAATAAAAACAGAGGGCGCCAAACATATTAGCAATGTTGTACGTGTCTGAATGCTGGCATTTAACTAAGATTATGAACCTTCTGGACGAGAGTGGCTGCTCTGAGCCTGCTCTCTTCAGTGCCAGCGGCAGCCTCAGCGGTGCTTGCGGTGCTGCTTTGCGATGCTGGAAGTAGTGCAGCCAGAAGAGGGAAGAGCACCTGCACAAACATGCAGATGAGAGCTTCACCTAGTTCAAAAGAAGGACTATTGCACTATCGATTTCCCAAACACAGTCATTGGCTTTCAGTTCATAAGTAGGACTATTACACTATCGAGTTCCCAAACACAGTCATTGGCTTTCAGTTCATAAGTAGGACTATTACACTATCGAGTTCCCAAACACAGTCAGTGGCCATCAGTTCAAAAGTAGGACTATTGTAATATCGACTTCCGAAAAACAGTCTGTGAGTCAGTGACCATCAGTTCAAGAGAAGGACTATTGCACTATCGACTTCCCGAACACAGTCAGTGGCCATCAGTTCAAAAGTAGGACTATTACACTTTCGAGTTCGTCATGCACAGTCAGTAGCTTTCAGTTCAAAAGTATGATTATTTGTCAGACGAGTTCTCAAACACTGTCAGTGGCCTACTAAAATGTTAAAAAAAAAATTCGGGACATCCATTTAATACCCGATTATTGCACGATAACTGTCCGACTAATAAAAAACAAACATTCATTTATTGTACTAGAAGCATGTATGACAACTGACTTTGTTGAAGCATGCTTCCCATTGATGAGCGTCGAGGGTCTGGAGGTCGTGGTTGAGCAGCGCGCGTTGCAGGTAAGTCATGGCCATATGGCGGATGCGACTACGGCTGTCGCAGCAGTAACGCGCAATGCCCTGTAACGAATATGCCAGTGTCAGATGCTACATTAATTTATACAACTACTAACACAAAGCTTTAGAAATATTCACAAATAATTTGTGGGGGACTTTGGCCTTGCCAATACAATTTGCCTAAATACATGTAATTTAAATAATTCAAGATACCCTCAAAGGGAAAAGTAAAGGGAAAAGTGAAGCACATTTGTGAATATTAGTTAACTAAGCAACATAAAAATTATAGCAGAAGTAAAAATGATCAAAAAATTCTTTTTACTTGTAAAAGTGGACAAAGAACTTCTTGCCAAAGGACTGAGCTTGAGCTGAAGTCAATTGGCGCTGTTCCAGAGTCCTTTCCATGACCCGGCTCAGCTCCAGTCAACATTCTGGTTTGTCCAGAAAGATGCACTTTGTTTGTTCGCGTCACTACACTAGAGTCGAGTTCAGGCAACGGTAGTGGGGGTGGTAGAAAACCGTCCGCAATTTGCGGATTTGTGCCCGTAGTCTCAGTGCCAGAAGAAGCGTTAGAGTTCTCATCATAATCGTCAGTCACCGCCAGGGCACTTTCGTTGTCTAACGGTTTGACCATGACAGAACCGGCTGACGTGTGTAGAGTGTCTAGAAGATCTAATAACTGAAAAAAATATGATAACGAGAGTCAAAATATTGAGAGAAAAAATATGACAAAAACATTAGGACTTGATATCAAAATCAGTTACGTGTTCAACAAATGACGAAATTAAAATTGTCATCGGAAGGATTAGGTAAAATTTATCAATGACTCGACCCATTTAAATTACCACGTTTAAAATCAGATGTGGATTCAAAACCTTAACTATGGGTTTGAATCCACATTCAAAGATCAAACTCACAATCAAAACACATCGACATCTCCGTTACTCGATAGAAGTATTTCTATACGTAGTCCTAAAACTAAAATGAAAGATGAAGACTCGAGACTATATTTGCTCTTGAAAATATTTGAGACTATATTTGCTAGTATCGCGGTAAAAAATAAATATGTAAAAAAGTAGCTCTGAAATTGACCAGAAGAATTTTAATATCCTCGATGGCAAGTTCGGTGAAAAGTAGATATTTATTAGAACCTCAAGTAAATTGCCTGCTACCACTAGTACTACTACTACTGTGACAAGTTACCTTCTCTGAGAGCTGTTGGTAAGTAGCTGGTAGGTCATCGGAGTCAGATTCATCAGCGTCGTAAGCGTTCGAGGCTCCCGTCGCTCCTCTGCTGCGAACAGCGCCGCCGGTGCTTGCTTTCTTGCCCCCCGACCCTCCGCTGCCTGAAGACTTATGATCGTCCCCGCGCTTACGTCCGCCGAGACGCCGTCGGGGCGACTTTCCTACGTCACCTCGATGCCGTTGTTGCTGTTGCTGCTGTTGTTGAATTTCGGCACGTCCTGATCAAAGTTAAAGTTATTAAGTTTTAATACTTTCGAATAACAATGGCGCACTATTGAATTCATGAAGGTATCTTAATGTAAAGAATAACAACGATACGATATGGATGAAAACGCTATAAAATATATATAGGTTTACTCAGACAAAAAAAAAACTAAGATTTTTAAATCAGAATCCTGATAATCTCTGCTGGTAAGAAGCCATTCAAAATAAAGTCAAGACCTTACGGAGCCTCACCACCGTGCAGTGTAGCCTCAACAAAAGTTCTTGCACAATTAACGGCATGGGGCAGACTAGAGCGCGTCATGTGTCGCTCCCGCACGAGGAAGACGAGTGTGTCGACGCTGCGGACGGCAGCGTCAGTGACAGGGAGGCCTGCTAAGAAGTCGCGGTGCAGCGCGATGTCCCACTCGTTCGTGACACCCGCGGTCGTGGAAGCGCCTGGTCCCGAGGGCACGTCGTTGTCTTCGCGTCCAACCTATGGGTCAATGAGTGCTTCCGTAAATACACCCTCTTCTTTGATTCTGAATAACATACAGTAAATTATCCGCACGGAATTGTCTATAACAGTTAACAATCAAATTTGTACATCGTAATAGGCTCACAGGAGGAAACGAGACTTTCTTAAATCTGTTTATAGCATTGATGGACCATTGACATGAGGAAAACAAATGAAGGAAAACCAGAAGTCTTCCATAACAGTTTCGCGGGTCCCACCATAATCCAGCCACCAGGGGATGTGCCAGTAACTTCAGGGCTGGTAGCTCGTGATCCAGAAGCGTCAGTGAGAGGCTTCTTGCCCCCCTCAACGCCGCTGCCAACTTCGCTGCAGTGTCCTGAGTCGGGACCTGAAGAGCTTCCAACCTCGCTCTCTGCACACATATTACATCTATCACACTAGTGCATATTGCAAAGTGTGATAAGAAAGACTGAGGCCCATTTTATAAAAGACTATTTGGTGTAAAATTCCATGACACACGAATATTTTTGATTCTTGCAAAATATTGAATAAACAGCGGATCTTTAAGAAGCATCAGTAGAAATACAGTAAATATCAATGGCCTGAAAGTAAAGAAAATATCGCTAACAAAACAAGTATAAACTAACCAGGCAAGGAGCGCATGTTGAGGTTGTGTAGCCGATGCAGCACCATGTGGGCGGGAGGTCTGGCTCCCGCGCCCGCCCACTCCATGAGGGCGAAGATCACAGCCCAGTCCTCGCCTCGTGTTATGTGATCTGCCGTCAGCGTCAGCACCTCGTGAACTCCAGCCACGATCTGCAACGCGGGTGGAAAATTTTGGAAATTTGCAATAAAAAATTTCTCATGGTACACAAGCAAAAGTGATCAAATATATTAGCATGATAGAGTAATATCAAACTTCATGTTTTATACTCGAGTGCTTTAATCATCCATATTTGTTAGTCGGTGAGATTCTACAATAACAGATGCCCAATACCAAAGAATTTTCTAGCACAAAATAAGTCGTAAATCAAAAAAAAAATGAGCTCATAAACATTACTGTGAGCTCATTTAAAAAATATTTCCATATGATCACGCATCATTTTCACTTCGACGTGCCAGTAAAATGAAGAAACCTATACCTGGAGTGAGGAGGCAACGAGGGCACTTGGGTTCAGGAGGAAGAGCATCTTGAGGCTCTGCAACGCAACTGAGGACATCTCAGGCCGCCGCACCAGCACAGCCGCAAGCCGCAGGAGCGCTGCCACGCACCGGCATAGGAGCCACACGCCCTCGCCACTCGGCGCCGCTTGTTGTTTGGCCCTAGCCGCGTCAGGTCCTGGATCAGGCTGCTTGTTGTATCCAGTGGCACAGGTCTTCATTAGCGATAAGATGTAGTCGTGGACACGAGTCCAAACGGCGCCAGCACGATCCTTGTTTGCTATAATGATCTGTGGGAAAACATACAAGAAAGTTTTTTTACTCCTAACAATGCTGCTGCTGCAGGGATATTTCAAGGTAATATAATATGCTAAATATTTTCATGGGAACTGGGAATGGCATTAATCTTTGCATACAGCAATGAAATTTACAACTCAAGACCACCAATAATCTTACCAGAGCCAAAAATTGTATAAATATTCACATAAAGACACGTTTCCTACCTGGACGACGACCTCGAGCAGCAGCGCATGTCCATACTCATCGAGGGTTTCTCCCTCGCCGCCAAATCCGTCAGCGACGCCTGAGTGCACGCCGCTCCTCGTTCCCGCGACTAGGCAGCTGCCATCACCCAACATCATGATAGCCTTGAGCATGTCGCTCAGCGAGTCGTGTCGCAGGAAAGCAGACTCTCGTATGAGCTTCTCGATGTGGCAGTCAACGATACATTTTTTGGCACGTTTTCGGCACTCTTCATCCTCGGGTGATGAGCCACGAGAGCCTCCGTCACCCAGGGCAATGTACGAGTAGAGGGACGACAGTAGACTAGGTTCCACGCGCGGCTGGGAGTTGTTTGCAGGACGGTAAAGGCTTACACATCCTTCAAGTAAGTCCGGCGATTCTGTGAGGTCCGCAGGTAACAAACGGCACCTGAAAAGTTGCAACAGCACCTCCACCACATTCTTCCAGCCATCCCGAAGAATATCCCCGTGCAACGTCACAAGGCGGAATAAGGTTTTAGCAGCCAGTTGGGCCTTTGGATTTCCTCCAAATTCTACTGCAATGGCATCCGCCGGACTAGCACTTGAGGTCAAGCCCGTAAATTTGCAAAGGGAAACAACCAGATTATCAAACACATCACTCATTCCATAACGAGCTGATATACTAGCACATTTTTTAAAGCCGGACAACGACTTCTGGATGAAGGCATCGTCAACTGATTTATCAAAGACGTAAGACAATGAAGCCACTGTGGGACCCCAGCAAATACCAAACAAGTCCCTGTCGAAAGAGTGGTCGTCATTTGCAAGCATGTAGATGCCTTCCTTTGTCGCGCCTCGCTTCAAAAGCATCTTCCAGAGATAGTTTTCTTTAACTAGACCAGTTTGTTCTGCAGGCATTATGATTTCCTCACTGCAAATGGCGTTATAGATTTCCTCCAGCATTTGAGGATCGAAGTCCTTCCCGTCGTTGACTCCACGCAGATTGTTCCTGAATTGTTCCAGAGTCATTGGAATATTTTGCTTCTTGGCGTTTTGATTGTGCTGATCAACATTTAGCATTATGACAGCATATGCAAGTGTGAAGGCAGCATCTTCCTTGCCGAACGGTTCGTTATTGCTTGTGTGCCAGTGGGCAGAGAAATACTCAATGATGATAGCAATCAAGGGGGCTTCTCCCGGAAGTCTGAAAGTTTCTAAGAAAGTTCTCAAGCACTGATCAATCCTAAGGCCTGTAAATGCAAAAGATTTTACAAATGCAGATAAGATGCCAACATTCTTCTTCTTGCTGAGATACTCTCCAATCATTTTCTTATCCAACTTCGGATTCTCTTTCATGAATATGGCTATATCCTCAGTAGTGGTGCCGAGAATGCCATTATCTTGAAGAAATTGGATTCCCTTCTCAGGTTTAACATTGAACTGGTCAGTACCCGTTGCGAGAAGCCGTTTCTTTTCTTTGAGAGCCAGAAGATGTTCTCTTAGTAACTCTTCATCATCTCTCAATACGGTGAAGGCCTTCAGTTTGGGGGTGACTGGACAAAAACCATTCAGAAGCCCAACGCCAAGTAAGTAGCCTGATGGTGGAGGACTCACTATATTGCTAATAATTTTAGTTGCAGCGTTCCTATTTTTCAGAGTGGATTGTAGTTTAACATCGTCTCTGTCCTTAATCTGCGACAGAGAGTGCGAATCCAGCGTTTCAACAACGGCCAACAGTGCATCTAATGATAAAATATTCGTAGAATACAGGCCTTGCACTGGGAAAGCATTCTTTGAAAGAACTTTGGTAAGATCTTCAAAAATGTTATCCGAGTAAAGATCACAGTCAAAGTTGACAAAAAGTTCCACTATTAGTCCCGGAATGCGCCATAGTTGCACAACAGTTTCTAATGCCAGTTCCTTGTGTGTGTAAGATACATTTGGAGCTTCTGATGTGATGATGTCAGTGAGTTTCCTCATAAACATTTCAAGTTGAAACTTGACGTGGGTCCGAAGGCTTTCAAAGATGAGGACGCAAACTCGTAGTGATGCCATCAGAATTGTGGGACGGACTTCAGGTTTGAGAAGGAGCAACAAATTCCTGCAGAGTTGATCTCGGACTAACTTTAGTAGAGACGAACATTTATTGATCTGCTCTCCTCCAATTTCCAGAGCTACTGTGATAAGACCCAAGGCGGTGGTAATCATGTTGGGAGTGTTCTGGTCATTGGTCGGGTTAGTGAGAGTGACCAAGAAACGAAGAACCTCCCTTACACATGCCATTCCGTATGGAACTAAATCACCTTCACTCGAGTCTGCTGGGGTAAACTTCACTCCGTGAGTATTGACGCGTACATCTGACTTGTGGTGAGTAGAGTTTGACAGATTCTGGACATTACTATAGTCAGTGTTTGAAATTTCTTCTCCTGAACTCAAGGATACTGCGTCATCGGTATTCAGAGAAGCCAAGAAAGGACTAGTATCAGAAGTTGGAGACTGCAGATCGTCAAGAGAGCCCTGCTGATGGAGGTGAGTGTTGGAAATATCAACACTACCTGTGTCTTGGTTGGTTTGATCGTTAATCCCAGAATCAATTGAAGAAGAATCGGGACTGCCTTCACCAGCAACAGTAGAAGTGCAATCTTTGTCCTCGATAGATAGAGAATCTGAGCTTACAGTGGTAAGACTAGTTGTGACAATTGCATTTACCTCGCCATTTGGGCTAGTTGGGGCAGAACCCTGTGGCACGGAATTAATTTCCTCATCACTTGCTTGGTGGTCGTTTGTCGGACAACCTGAGTTGCTCATGTTGCGCGGCAGAAGCTTCGAGGTTTTGGCTTTTTTGTTGTTTTTGCTGGCCTCTGCTGCCCCTCCAGCCTTCATCCTGATCCTCCTGGCATTGCTTGAGTTAGGATCGTCAGCAAACTGCGGCAGCCGGGCAAATAGCAGACTCACCATCTGACATAGTGCGTCTTCTGTGCAGTTCCGGAGCAGCTCACTTAGACGCGTCTCAAAGCAGATCCTGTAACAGTCATTACTGTTGAAAGGATGAACCAGCTGCTGTAATGGAGGTGAAAAAATTAAGATACATGAAAATGTTGACACACCCAGAAACATTATTAACTTATGGATAATTAGTTACTGCAACTTTAGCAGAAAACCCATGGAAAATTTTTACCTGAACATTTAGTATAAAAAATATAACTATGTACTCACTGCAGTAAGTGACAGAGATCGCATTTTCTCGTCGATGAAAACGTGAAGTCATGGACAAACAGACTGACGGACAGACAGATGGACAGACATGACGAGCACAATAGCGCCTTTTTTCCATAAATGAGAAAATGCGCTAAAAAGTAATAGAACATATAGATGGAACATTCAATGATTGCCTCATAATTTTATAATCCAACCTGAAGGAAGAGTTGAGCAGTTCACAAACAGACTCGTTGGTGAGTAGGTGGCCTACAGGCCCGAGCAACAGGGTCTTGAGCACGGCAAGAATCTCCCAGAGAACGACCTCATCAGCACCCTGGTCGGTGCCAACAAACCGAGCATGTGTGACGGTAGTGGCGATATCCTCAACAGCCGCCGCCACACCAGGACTCTCACTTGACAGCAGTCCATAGCTCAGCATTCTGAAATTGAACAGATTATTTAGCCCTTATATACAAATATAAGTAGGTTCAAATACCTTTCAAGCCAGGGAAAATATATTTTGATGTGCAAATCAAGCCAAGGTAAATCAAGGCAAGCTTCATACATATAATCTGGAAAATATAGACAATCAACATCATTTAGCTATTTTAAACCATGACAAACATTATGTAATTAAAATCACTTCATAGAATTAATGTATACATAGGAGTAGAAATAATTTAAATGCGTTTGCAATTTCAGAAGTGTGGACTCTAATTTAATAAGTGATGAAAATAAGTTGAGAGTAGAAACCTAGTGCAGGCAAATTAACCTGTTGACAGAAGCAAGTGCAGTCTTGGTAACAGGGCCAGTGGTGTCATCTGAGCGTATGACAGCCAAGAAGGGTTCCAGGAATACAGCAGGAGGTGGGGGAGGGGGATCGTGTTGGGTGGAGAGTGAGCTTATGTGCACTTGAAGCTCACGTAGCTTGCACACCAGAGGATCTTGAGAAACATCCTGGCAAAATTAAAAAGTCAAAATATGAGCAGACATAGACATCACTAATTAAATTTTCTAAGTAGAGATCAGCAATTTACATCTTAAGTACAAATGAGGTTTAATTACCATGGTTGCATAACACTAAACAGAAAAATTGCAATTTAAATTTATGATCATAGAAGAAAATGCACTGAAACCTTTAAGTAACTCAGCAAGCATGCTCAACAATAGGAATTATTATCAAATCAATCCATCAAAAAATTTATCCAATATTATGAAAAAAAACAAATAGTGTATCCAGTTGGAAATTTGGGCATGGCATGAATGGAATATTGGCTTGACATGAATGAATAATTTTATAAATGGAGACAAGATGAACAAAATCATGATTTCTCTATTACTCACAGTTTGATGTTGGGACCATCTTGGGGTAGCTCTTCTCATAGTTGCCAGCAAAGCCATAATCTCCCCTAACAAGATGCGTGTGTAGCACAAAGTAGGACGACCAAATGTCATGTGCTGCTGTTCCATACTGGTTGAAACTTCAACCAAACAAGGAATATGATTAGTTGAAAAATCCTTGGCTTGTCTAATACTGCACTTTTGGGTTGTCTTCTGATGTTGAGAGAGGGATGACATAATGCTGATTGGTCTAGCAGGATTGCTTACTTCAGTTCCTCCAATTCTCCCACTTGCAGCATCATTAGTGCTAATATTTTGAAATGAAGGATTTTTCAAAGGTGCGCTAATAGAAATTGATGATGATGAGTTAGATTTTTCAAGCAAAATGCAAGGTGGAAGTACATCTTCACTGCTGGCTTTGATGTTCTTGCTACCATCAAGAACAGAAGAAGTTTCAGCAATAGCAGCATCAATGGAAGAAATTATTGTTGCTGATGAGCCATCAGGAAGCTCTGAAGATGCAGGAGCCAATTGCAGTACATTTTCAGGATCTGCTTCATAATTTGAGAACAATGGATTGAAATTAATTCCCGTAGGAGCAAGACTTGTAGGAGAAGTGGAAACTGCATCAGCAGGAGAACTAATAACATTCTGAGCTTGTGGTTGAGGAATATTTTGAGATGTTGAAGTTATTGGAGCAAGAGATCCTGTTGCTTGAGAGTCAACTGGGATCAAGTAGGTAGCTGTGGGAGGTAAGAGATCAAAAGATCTCAACATTTGTAGCTCAGATACAACCTCTGTTGAGGATTGCAGAAGACTGTTGTAGGCACTTGATTGATTGGGATAATCTCCATTGTGAAGGTTGTGCACATTTGTTGACAATTCTGAAGCAGAGCATTCTAGGTGAGGTAATTCATAAGATGAGTCAGTAGTGTGTGATGAGATACAAGTACTAAGTGATGACTTTTCACTTGAATTGTCAGACTGATGACTAGCAATGCCAACAGTATTATATTGAGGAATGGTTGGAGTGAAAGATGCATTGCAGTTTATTGCGGGACTTTCCAATGAGGTGGGGACAAATAGGGAAGGTGCCTCAGTCATGGAGTGATTCCCACTCATGGCTGCACTGAGCAGAACATTTTCTTTACTCTCCATGTCTTGGCAACTTTGATGGAACTTCTAATCATATATTCATGATTGATATCATTTTCACATAGTAATCAGCAATGAATTCCTACAACTTTATACATAATATTTTCAAGAAAATTACCCTGCAGAAAAAATTATGACATATAAATTGTGTTTTAGAAAATTCAAATATTCTATTTAGTTCATCTTGATTTGGAATTGAACCACAGTGCAATCATTATTTAAGATAATGTTAAATTATAATTAAGTAGGCAACCCATTAACATTTGTTTATAAATGACAAGTTACTGTAGGCAGCAACAGGCTGGAATATCTGACAGGCACTTTCAGAAAACACTGGAAAAGTAATTTTTATACTTCAAGTGGTTCCACAAATTCCTATCATCGCTAGGGTATTGCTGGGCAAGAATAAAAATTATTTGAAGGCTAGGTACATCATAAAGGAGGTCATACTTTCAATGAAAATGGGTAGTCTTTGAGACTCTTGACTCATCCAGGATTGAAATTTTTCTACTTACTAGGTATCAAAATCTTGCAGCTCCAAAATGACAAATTTTCAATACATTTGAAATCTTGCAGCCTGATCATTCATGATTCACTTTCATAACAATAGATAAGAAGTAATTTATCTAGCAGTACGTAGTAGGAATCTCATGGTTCTAAAAATGGCTGAAAACTCTAGACATGGTTGGCTGTAGATGAAAAAATAAAATGGCTGAAAACTCAAAAGGTTGACATATTTTAAGCCAGGCCTTCTTGATGGTTGGATCAGCCAATTTACCTGTCAGGACACCACTAAAATTGTTAGGAGGCATATGGATATGGCAGGAGGTAACTCATATGGCAGGAATTTTGAGGCCCTGAAAATGGCAGGGGAAAGCTCTGGTTGCAGCTTTAAAAGTAAATATAATCCATAACTGCTGCCCTGTGCTAATTTCAATTTTCCTAAGTACTAATAAAAGAAATTTTGAGGCTAAAATGTGAAAAAAATTTATTTACTTGGAATCTTGCAGCCCACTGTACTTATATGAACAATTAGATTGGAGATATTTCATTTAGCTTGAATCTGGCAGCTCTGAAACCAATTTGGAATATCAGACAGAAGTGAACTAGTATTGCTGGTAAAAATGATGGTTTCATGGGTCAGTTAAAAAAATTGCTAGTAAAAACAGGCAAAGTATTTTTATTTTTCACAGAAGAAATAAGGAAAAGGCCACAAGAACGGTTAAAATTGGCCAGATTCATGGGCATTTATGTCCTATTCACAGGTGGCTTTTGCTTAATTACTGGCAGGAAAGCTTTAGTTGTGGCTCAGAAGGTAGATATATTCCACACCAGCAGGCTTAAATTCTACAGGGCTGTTAAATTAACCAGTACACATACAAAATTGGACACAACTTATCACAGTCTGTCCAGAGAGGATACCACAATCCCACAACCCACTGTGGAAGAAGTGTCAGGCACTTTGCCAATATTGCTCTTTCAGACAGAAATAGTTTCCGGCAATATTGAAAATGTTGCTAGATTTATCATGGCCTTCAAACTTTGTTGCCAATGGAAATCCAACTGAATATACAGCTAGTAGTGATATTATAAAACAATAACAAAAAAGTTGTAACTACAGTACAAAGCATGCAGTCACCATCACCCACTGCCCATCACAAAAATGCCAGGACTAACATCTACAAGTGCAGATGTCCGCATTATTACGGATTTTGATAATTTATTACGATTGCAATCCATTTATTTAACTTCATAGATTGATACCATAAAATGAGGGTAATAAGGGACTGGCAGAGCAAATTGGGACAGTCAACCGTCATGGCATAAAAATGTTATAGCAGCTAAACTAATTGAAATATTGCAAAATTGAAAATAGTGGTGTAAACTCCAATATTTTTCCTATCTATGTACAGTAGCATAAAGGACATTAAGAAATCTTACATTTTCTAGCTATAAAAAATTCCTGAAAAAAATGTTGAATGACATTTTGGAAAAATACTTCTGCAAAGGTCTGTAAAAAATATTTTATATACCAAAAAATTTTTCTCTAAAAATCTTGCAGACATTTGTTGGTTTTGAAACTTTATTAAGACACCCCTAAAAACACATTTACAGCAGAACCTCTGTTATGGAAGGCTCTGGTCAACAAAAAAAAATCAGTTAATGGCACAGAATTTTCATTAAATATACCTATCTCAACAAAAAAATTTCACTAATCAAAAAATTAATGCATCATTGGTCATCACAAAATTGTGCATAGAATTTGAGAGAATTGTGCACCAGGCAACATAAAATAAGTAATTAATCTAAACTATGATAAATTTCTCCAAAAAATATGATGGTTGTCACTGAAATATTCCTTTCTGTTTCAGATATGTATTTCATAATTTTTTTTTTTTTGTTATGGTAAATTCCCTTGACCCAATTAAAATGGTGCAAAATTACAAGCCCAAACCAGTAAGCTCACAGATACAGAAGAAATGCTATATTGCTGCTAATATGAAGCTTGCAGTGGACAAGGTCATCATCAATGCTCAAAGGCAAGTCCACGGATACAGTAATATCACATCAATACGGTAATGTATGAATATGATAACATATCAATGAAGGAAAAACAAGTACAAATTACAGAAAATATCATTTGTTCTACATTTTGGAAGTAGGAAGAGGAATTTGAAGCACTGTCAGTAGAAGACGAGTACACTCTCCATGCTTCAAACAATATAAAATCAAGTTTTACTTCAAGTGGAGTAATTCAAGTGGGAACTTTGTTCCCAGGAGTAATTTGGGACGTTTTCTTTTAGGTCTGGCACTTTACAAATAGCAGATGGAATTTTTTTTTTAGATATCATAAAATAGCCCTTTCAAAGACCTTTGAAATAAGCTCAAACTTGTTTTTGAAATATTTCAGGGCAAGACTTTATTAACAAAAAACTCTCAAAATCATCCCTTATTACCTTGTTTGATGGTACTACTATCTACTAGTACATGTATTATGAATTTATTATCATTATTTATCATTTATCATCATCATTTATCAGTCATATACTACTGAATGCATCAATGAACTCACCAGCAGTGTGGAATTCTAGAGAAATATTAAATTAACCAGTACACATAGCATATTGGAAAGCAGGACCTGAAAGGTTGGAAAGTCCAGGAACTTTCCACTTCCAGTCCATTTAATTATATAGGTACATTATGCATATCCTATCACTTTTCAACTGTGGTTTATGGGATTGTGATTTTAGCCCCTTCCAGCTTTCCAGCTGTGATTGGTTAATGGAGTTGTAATGTTATCTGCTTTCTAGCTGTGATTGTTTGTTGGGGATGCTTTCAAGCTGTGATTGGTTGATGGGGATGCTTTCTGATTGGTTGTGCCCATAAGCCCCGCCCCCAAATATGGTATATGTACTACAGTACTGGTTAACTAAAAGCCTGGAAAATTTTCAAAAAATCCATTAAATAAAAGAAAAATAGAGAATATCTATCAAACAAGAGACATTCAAACAATTTTATAACAAATCTGAGGTACTATACAACTGAAACAGTTTGTCCACTTTTGATCCTCCTTTTCATTTATAGTCAGTCACCTTGGCAGAGCACTGTATCTAAGGAAAGCATTCCACCTTGGGTGGAAAGCTTTTTTATAAGTGAACCTCCATTTCTAGAATTCCACCCTGCTAACCAGCATCATTAATTTATCATTTATTCATTCATCATTCATTTTTTATTTGTCACTTATTAATAAATTATTCATCATTCTTCATCAAACAGGAATTTATTCTGTTCAATTCTGCCTTCTAGTAAATTTTTACCATTCATTTCTTATATCTATCAGTCGCACCCATTTCCACCACCCATCTGCAATCAAAGTCTCAACCAAAATATTCATTTTAGTTAGAACAGAAAGCCTAGTCCTACAATGGACAACCAGTGTGGAATTCTAGGAGTAGGTATTCAATTAACCAGTACACATAGCATATTGGGACACAGGACTGGAAAGCTTGGAAGGGCCAGGAATTTTCCGTTTTCAAATCATTATATACATATCTGTTGATGATATCCTTTTCCAGCAGTGATTGGTTGGTGAGATTGTGATGTCATCCCCTTTCCAGCTGTGATTGGTTGATGGGATTGTGATGTCATCCTTTCCAGCTGTGATTGGTTGTGCCCAAATATGGTATGTGTACTGGTTAACTTAATTATAAAACTAATTTCATACTTAACTTAAACTTAATCATTAAAAACATAAGACCTGGAAAATTTTCAAAAAATCCATTTGATAAAAGAAAAATAAATAATATCAATCAAACAAAAGACAACTAAACAATTCTATAACAAATCTGAGGTACCAAGCAATGGAAACCGTTTTTCCTCTTTTGATCCCCTTTTTCCTCTATAGATCCCCTCCCCCTCTATTTTTCCTCTCACCTGGCGGCTGGCAGAGCACTGTATCTAAGCAGGCATGGAATATATCTAATTGCCATGCCGTGACTGAATTTTTTGAGTTGTGGTTTTATGGATTTGACAGCCGTGATCCCATTTCTTTGAGCCATGATTCCAATTCTCTGAGCCACAAATTCCATATCTAGGCCATGAAAAGCCATTTACAAGCCACCAACTTATTTATAAAGCCCCCGATCTCTGCCGCATCTACGTCGTGGGGGTACCCTGGCCTGCGCGTCGGCCGGATGCCCAGCTTGCTCGCGGACCAGGCCAAACGGCAGAGGCCCCCCCGCCCAGATTGCTACCGGATGGAGGCTCCTTTCTTCATTTTTCAACCAAGGGTCGGGGAACCTCGGCCTCCCCTTTCCCCTACCCACTTCTTTGGCCGCCTATCTTTCCTGAGGCACACTATGTCCAATTCTCCTCTCACCTTTTCTTCCTTCTCCTCCTGACCCAGGGTATCAATCCCAACCCTGACCCCACCGACGACCCCTGCTCAGACTGCTCCCTCCTGGTTACAAAGCGATGTTACTCGTTCTGGTGCTCCACGTGTAACGCCTGGTGCCACAAGCGGTGCTCCGGCCTTCGCTCTGTCCACCTATTCTCCGCAGACTGGTCCTGCCCTACGTGCAGATGGTCTGACCCCATACCCGCCAGACCCCC